GAGAGAGAGAGAGAGACAGAGAGAGAGAGAGAGAGAGAGAGAGAGAGAGAGAGAGAGAGAGAGAGAGAGAGAGAGAGAGAGACAGAGACAGAGAGAGAGAGAGAGAGAGAGAGAGAGAGAGAGAGAGAGAGAGCTTTCCAAAGACGCGTTGTTTGATTTTTTTTGTCCTCTTGGTGGTGGAGAAATCGAGTCTTGGCAATCGATCCACGCGGGATGTGGTATCTTGCGTCACCTATGGTACTTCTTGGCCTCGCCAAGCGTGACGTGCTGTCAATATTGGCTCTGTTTTGGTTGATGAGAAAGCTTGTAACACCATGCGCGCGTGTTTTACGTGTCGTCTTTTTGTCCGGCCAATCAGTATTCTGTCGGGACTGGTTCGTTGTGTCAACATCATTACACGTGATTGCTGCAGGGGCGTGGCAGATGTTGGTTGGACACGCGCTTGAGCTGCTTCAACTTTTCTCCCTTTTGCCTCATTCCTCCTGGATCCGTGTCGGAACTCGGTCGCACGAAAGAAGGGATGGTGAAGTTGTTTGGAGCATTCCCAGATCCGTTCCTCGAACTACATCAATATCTTCGTGACGGTTTATTCTTGCCTATACAGTGTGGGATGAGACAGCAGCAGTGGGCGTTGTGCATGCGCAAACTTACGCTTGTTGGGCTTTTTGGTGCTGCACTATATCAACATGGGCACTCGTTCGAGATATCGAGTGCATTGAACACACTTTCCCCTCTTCGCCGAAGCGTTCAAGGCGCTGTGTTTGCGCATGCGTGATGCCTAGTATCCTAGTCGACTGCTTCGTATTATCGATCAATTTACTTCGGATTGCTCCTGCGGTTGTGTCCGCTCGCCAAGTTCGGTCCTGTTATGCTACTCTTTTCCTTGCCTATGGCGAGCTCGGTGTATTATTTCATTCGAATCTTGATTTTTTTGGGTGTACTTTTTCTTCATTTGTGTTTCTGGTCTTGTTTTGTTTTTTTTCCCGGCGTTCAACTTGTTTTTTGCGCCGGGTTCCGCCAAAAACCAAATTGTTCCTCGTCCTAAATCCTACTCAATTTTCACTCGTATTCCACATAGGTGTCCGGTGGACCATTTTCGCGCAGGCTTGATCCCTGCTGTATTAAAGCTTCCTCTACATAGACCGGCTGGCCTACGCATGTTCTCACCTCCCCCCTTCTCGTAGTAAGACGCTTGGTGTCGCGGTGAATGCTGTTCTTGTGCATGCTCCTGGCCTCTTGTAGTTTGGGTGAGGGCGAGTGCCATCCTTCTCGTTTGGCGCCTGTACAACAGTGCTAACGTGTTTTGGTGGTGCGCGCATGCATGTGGTATCCATGTCGCGGGGTTGACCTAATCGCTTGTGGTTGACCTTAGCTTTGTTGGCGACGTGATATTTTCTTTGTTTTTACGTGCTGTCATACAACAAGTTGATATCTCCTCCACCATTAGAGTGAGCGCCCGAGATTAAGAAACAAAAGTTATAGGAAGGCTCATATTTTGACGATGAATAAGGAAAACCGACTAAGAAACACACCTCAGCTGTGGATCCTACACTAAAGCCTATATAATGACCTATGCTTGACGGTGGTGTCGAAATAAGAAATTGAGCCTCGACCCCAAATTGACTTTTATTAAACGCGGGTGCTTACTGTAGTAGTCTGGGATAGGCCAGCAATGAATTCATAGGGTTAGCGGAAGCTGCCTGTGTTTCTGCGATCCAGCGGGCAGCATGTAGCGACATCTCCGGCTCTACAAGACGACGTGATAGTTTCCTGTCTGTTGGCCTTATACGTCCGGCCGTACATAAGGTGGCTGCTTTCTTGACCTGGGACGTCATTGGGGCGTTCGACTCCATGGAGAACATGGGAAGGGAGATCGAAGATCTCGAGAGCCAGGTGATGTTGCGTTGCTGTTGTTGTTGTTGTTGTTGTTGTTGTTGTTGTTGTTGTTGTTGTTGTTGTTGTTGTTGTTGTTGTTGTTGTTGTTGCTATTGTTATTGGTGTCGTTGTTGTTTAGAGGAATTTCGCTAAATTGTCCGTTAACCAAGGCGTGCTGATCCCTCATGTTTAGTGGACAATGAGAGGGTCGAGATTACATATCCCCGCATTTTGTTTTTCCCTACGTGTGTACCATAGCTTAGTCGGCACGTCATTTGCGGCAGACTCACGACCACGTTTGCCTTGAGGGGTCCTTCGGTGCCGAGAACAGCATGCGTTGGATAGCAATCGCCAACCTTCCCTGCCCCATACTGCTGTGTGTGTTTGCCCCCGCATTTGGTTTTTTGGTTGTCATGGATCCCTCCCGTTGTCTACAGGAATGGCCCACTTGTCCAAAAAAAACAAAACAGATTTAATAGTGTATTAAATACCATAATTCATATTCATGTATTTAGGCAACCTCGGTAGGATAATTCAATCAATAGCTAGCTGATCTCGTGTTTTTTTTTCGGGGGGGCGGCGGTAACCTAAGGCGGCCATGATGGACGACGACGAGCAGTTGGCGAAGGCTTTTAACACCATTGGCGCCGGGTTTTCGCTCATGGGTCCGCAGGACGAGAAGATGTTCGTCCTGATTCCCGCCGAGGTGAGGGGACCCGCTTAAACCCAATTTCCCCGATTGTATTACTTGTCCAACCTGTTTGCTTAATCGATATACCCTGCGAAGGCTACTGACAGCCTTCGCGCGAGAAATGAAGTTTTTTGACGAAATAGAGCAGGAGGGGGTACGCAGACCCTATCCCTAACGCAACTTCCCCGATTGCATGCTTCATTCCAACATATTTTTTAATCAAACGACCCTGCGAAGGCTACTGAGGTGAGGACAAGACAGACGCACGGCGTGATCGGTTATCGTGAAAACTGACGTAAGGTATCACGCCCCCTTGACCGATTATTTCAAAGCTGGCCCACGAACTAAGTTCCCTCGAGGGAGATTTAATGTAACGACTGGTAGGTGTTTTCATAGCGTTCGGAAGTAGCCGGGTCATGATGTGTTTACCATGCAGTATGCAGCCCGATACAGTGGCAACTTGAATAGGGGAACAGTCGAAATAGTGGTTTCAAACTCTCTTGTCAATCTCAACGTGTACAGAACCCGATAGATCGAATAGTGGCACTGCCCTGAATAGTGGCATTTTATCCTCTTGCCGCTACATGGCACAACTTCGGGCTGCTTACTGTTTATCATTTGGCGTGTTGTCCGACGCGATGTTGTGACGTTATCATGAAATGCGGGAGTTGTTCCACATCTTGTGCCCATCAGCATGCGATTTCAAAGCCGGACTGCTCCGCAGCAAAAGAGCGACGGTGCCGATAATGTCGGCGTTTGAACCATCTCGCCGAGAGCCTTCCGAAAAACTTATGGTCTTATTCAAGCATCCTCTTCTTCATCGTGGAGTAATCGAGCTTTGAAAATCGGCCGAGGTGTGTGGTGTGTATGTGTCACCTACGGTAAAGTAGCGTGGTGAATATATATATATTGCAGGTGTTGCACCCCGCATCAATTTTCAAGGCTCGATCGTTCTGCAGCAAACGCAGCGGGGGTGCCAGAGATGGAGGCGACGTCGGAACTGTGTCGCCGAGAGCTTTCCGAAAACGCATCGTTTGATCTTTTCTTCCACTTCGTGTAGTAAACGAGCTGTGAATATCGGATCAGGGTGTGTGTTAGATTTTGTAACCACACGCACACGTCGATCCGATACACATGCACACATATATATCTAGATCACCAGAGTCCAGTAAGTGGTTGAATGTTCTCATGGATGCTCCAGTAGGTGAACACAACAACAACAATGTAGAGACTAAGCACGTGCATTTAGTGTGCATATCGCAGGCACATGAATGTATCTACTGTATCAATAATTCTGGGTGACCTAAATGCTGTGCGGGTCAGTAGGTCAGTAGGAGACGGCAGGTACGTTTTGCGGAGAAGGTAGAATATTCCCGCCGAGAACATAATGAATGGGTGAACGTGATTTCCCCGCCGGGAAGCTCGCCCAAGGACACGAGCGTTTCTTAGAAGAACGTGAACGTTAAACGTTGATTCTCCGGGATTCAGGCGGGGAAGTGCCCGATCAGGGCGTACGTCGCGGTGGTTTCACACTCGAGACGTGCCACCGCCGAGCCCCGGGACAGGAAGGTCGTAGTGGAAAGACTCTCCTGGTCGACACCGCGAATAGCTGAGTCGATTGGAGTTGTTGCGCGGGCTAAGTGCTGAGGCCGAAGTTAACATCTTGAATTTAGGGGAGGGTTTAATCTCCCCGGTTCGCTCACAGCTCTCGGGACTGTAGCGTAAGGTTAATGATTACAATATGGTATATTGTGTTCTATCGCTTTACGACCATCGTTCTTGCCGCTGTTCCCCTGCGCCTTCGCCACCCAAGGACGTTTGAATCGAAAATATTGCCCGGTGTATCGCTGAACGACCATCGGTCCTGCTCGGTGTCCCTGCCCCTGCGCCACCCCATGGCGCATGCTTCGAGAGCAATATATCGCTACAACACACACGACTACAATTCCTGCCGCTTTTCCCTGCGCCCACCAACGGCGGTTTGCTCCGAAAGTATGTTGTTATATCGCTACACGACCGTCGGTTTGCGCCGGCTCCGCCTGTTCCTGCGCCACCCCATGGCGCATGCTTCGAGAGCAATATATCGCCACAGCACACACGACTACAATTCCTGCCGCTTTTCCTTGCGCCCACCAACGGCGGTTTGCTCCGAAAGTATGTTCTTATATCGCTACACGACCGTCGTTTTGCGCCGGCTCTGCCTGTTCCTGCGCCACCCTACGGCGTTTGCTTCGATCAACACTGCCAGACGAAGCCCAACGAAGACACGCAAGCGAACGAACAAGGCAGGACCGCCCTGGCGCTCGGCGCCCCCATCACCCTCTTCGCCTTCTTGGGGGACGTTTTCAATGGCTCTCCGTACGAGGTACAGTACAGTGACGGTCCGCTCTCACGAAACACCTATTTTGAGCGAGGGTCAAACCTCACTTTCTCCCCGCCGCCTTCTGAGCAAAGACTTCGGTTTATGGGAAGGAATTAGTGAGGTGCGGGCCGCTGTGCTCCAATTTCTAAGGGTAGTTTTGTCCAGAATCTGAGCCTCGGTTTCTTACGAACATGCTTCTTTCTTTGGAGTGGTCCGGCACTGCTGTATGGGTGGGTACACAGGATACCTCACCCACTTTGTGGGCTGATTTTCAAATCTCGACTTCTCCACAGCAGCAGTAGCGTGGCGTGAGGCGTTGGAGCCGCCTCGTCGAGATCTTTCCGAAAGCATGTCAGTTTGGTTTTGGTATCCTCTTCGTTGTGGAATAGTTTTAAGCTTTGAAAATCGGTCCAGGGGGTGTGGTATCTCGTGTTAAGTACGGTAGGCAAGTGTGGTAGGCCTCGAGAAGAACGTACATCGACACGTCGGAAATTGCTACATATCAGCTTCACCACCGCGGGAAGCTGGATACAGACGCGAAAAATTGAATGGTTCGAACCGTGAAAACAAAAAAAAGCAAACGTTGGCATTCACCATCCCCGAGACAAAGTTGTTGCGAAATAGGAAAAATGAACGAGTTTATTGTATGGAATCTTATTGAAGTATGCTTGCACGGTACAGTAGCGGCTGCGGTTTAATTTCACCGTTGGGACAAGTAAAACAAAGCTTTTGCATGACACCTTCGGTGGACGGGACGAATAGAACACGCGTACACAGGCACAGTCTGGGGGGCAAGCCTTTGATGGATGTGCGCCTTCATCTGCGCAAGACAAGCAAGTATGCCCGCGTCATTACTCTGGTTCTGTTGTTTGACTTTTTGTGCGCAAGGCGCTCGGTAAAACACTGGCCGGCATCCCACTCACCTTCTTCGCAACATGGTTGTTTTGAGCGAGCGCTTTGAATTGTGATGCTTGGGGCCATTCTCTCCCCCCCTCTCCCTCTTCTATCGCTCTCTCCACCTATCGACCTATCTTTCTTTCTTGACAAAATATGATCACAATTTCTCTATGAATGTTTGCCAGCAGGTTGGTGGTGATTAACACGAGGTGGCCTCGCTCATGGTTTTTTGCTTTCGACGCGCGAACTGTTTCACCGATTTACAATGCTACTCGTGTGTCGTCTCCCTCGCCTTGTTGCTGTTGAAGCAGGCCGCCAACGGCGCCGTCGACGGCGACGTCCAATTGCTCACCCAGGTGCTGCTGCTGTGTGGTTCTGCCTTACGCTGTAGCTGCTGTTGCTGTTGGTGGTGTTGTTGGGAAGTATACACCGGTCGTGACTCCGATACAAGAGGGTGCTGAGACAAAGGCCCTCGACCTTCCTATTTCGGACCCCCCCCCCCGCATACCGGAATAGGAATAAAAGAGGGTCGAGTCCGTGACAACCGATTTCGACCCTCTTATATCGGAGCGGCCCCCCTTCTTAGGAAACCCTTTTACTACGGAGCCACGATTGTACGATCAAGAAAGACTACCCGTTGGAGATTGAACCACAGTCGAAAGGGGCGTACTCATAGTCGTGCATGCCGTAGTCGTTAGGCCATTGACCTCGCATCCCTACAAAGTCGGGACGGAGCACGCCGGGTTCTCACCGGACCAGGCTCAACACAGTTGAAGGGGGTGGGTTCCAAGTCTTTTCAGTGAACAAGCGAGAAAACCTGTCGGATACTGATGTTGTTTTTGGTGGCGGTGGTGGTGGTGGTGGTGCTGCTGTGGTAGCTTCGGATGTTGCTGTCGGCAGTGTTGCTTTTTGTTTTGTTGTTGCCGTCGTTGCCGTTGCCGTTGCCGTTGCCTTCAAGCATACAAAAACTTCCGACCTCTACCGTATATCCACCATGTCGTCCGGGTAGGACATGATTTTCCGCAGCCAGTCGGGGCTTTTTTGTAGCATCCCAAACGGTGATTCACAAAAAATAGTAGACACACCAAGCTTGCCACTGCCGCAAAAAGAATAAACAAGCACAGTAACGAAGGGACTGAAGGAAGGCGAGAACGCGTCGGCAAACAACACCGCAGGTCGTATGGTCAATCTAATAACAACCATTTTGTGCTAGGTGACTTCACGTCCTTTGTTTTTCTGCACCAGCCTTTTTATCATTCTACTGATGTGTCCCCCCACCCGGGTGTATTTTTTCTTTTCTTTTTCTGGATTGGTCTTTTTTATTTCTGTTTCTGTGTCCCCCCCCGCCGGGTTTCATCACATGCATACAATGACACCACTGAGCCTTGTCTTTATGTCGTCCTCTTCGCGCAGATCGGCTTGTTGGGGCTTATTATGGCGGGCCTCCTCCTGTCTCGCGACATCGCTCGGACGGTAGCGGCCAAGTTGGTTAGGGTCGAATTGGAGGCGCCCGTGCTCCTGCCTTCCTTCGAGACTGGACTCCTCGCCGCAAAGAGGCCTGTGGCCTCGTTTCCCTCGACCAGCCAGGTGATGTTTTGTGCGTCGTGTGGTCCTTGTTGTTGTTGATGATGTTGATGTTGATGCTGCTGCTGCTGTGGTGGTGCTGCTGCTGTTGTATCCCATTAACCTTACACCAACGAGTATCGCGGCCCACCCCCTCCTATCACTCGACTCAACCCCCCCCCCCCCCCCCC